TGCTTCTCTTTTAATGGCCAACATTCTGCACCATAAAGCATTATAGGTCTAACCATCATCTTATAAATTTTTTCCTTAAATTTGAGGGGACTTTGATAGGAACCCCTTGGATTTCCAAGCGTCTCTCACCAAAAAAACAAATAGATCCAAGATGAAAACTGCTGTCCACAGCAGTAAAACAGCCAAAAACAGTAGAAAAATAGGGAGAAATTCTTGGAAAACAATAGAAACGATTGTATTCCACTAGTAGACAAACAAAACCAAAGCAAGATACAATGTTCTTCAATTCGAGAGGAAGAACAACTCTCCAACGATCTCCGGCAACGCCAAGAGCCCAAGCAAGAAAACCCTAGAACACCAAACTCTTTTCAAAAACAAGATAATCCCTAATCCCTCTCATAACTCTCCATTAATACAATCTAATTCAAAATAAAAGTAAAAGGACTTCTCTACCCTTCCTTCTCCCTCCAAAAACACTTAAACCATGTTTGAATTCCGAGTGGACCCCACCCCCGCCCCTTTTCCTTCTTCCGCCTGTTCTCTGGCCCGTCTCCGCCTGGAGAAAACCCGGACCGGCTGGGCCGGTCCAGGTTGAGCCGGTCCATGCTGGACCGGCATAACAGAAAAATCCTAGAAAAAAGCACCTGGCTCATGGCATTCCCGCATCAACATTATCAAATCGATTTCATATTATATTATAATCATATTGGAGTATCGAGTTGATTATGAATCATAAAGGGGCACATATACAAGAATATAATCACAATTGGATAACTAACTCATCTCCAAAATTGCAACAATGTAAAATTGATTAAAATATGATTAAAATATAAGAGTTAAATAAATATGATTAAAATATAAGAGTTAAATAAATTGACATGTAAAATTGATTAAAATATAAGAGTTAAATAAATATATCAAAGATTGGAAGGGTAAACAAAGTGACCCTTATGATTGCTCCTTATGATTCATATAAAAATGCTCTTTGGAAATATGATTCTAATTACAATGTTGATGAAAATGATGACTATCTAAAGCTACTTGAGTGTACTTCCACTCTTCATTTCGTGTATTACATTTCATTTATTTTAGTTTTTCTTCATCTTAACACTGTCATTGCCAAGTCCAAGCCCTGGATGAGAAAAATGAAGGATTGGGTAAGGTAGTCGACAACCAGCGTAAAACTTATCGAATAATCATGACATGAATCGTTTGATATATTGTGTTAATGCTAGGGCATTCCCTGAAAGCGACGCGTTGTATGGCCTGAATACAATGAGAAGTATGCAAGGGTCGCTGCTTCAACACCCGGATGCAGTGTTAAATAGGCAAGGGTTCCCACATCATGAACGGATGTGGGCAAAGAAGCTAGTCCATGAAACTAAAATTAAGTTAGGATCGTAGAATATAGGTTCCCTCACAAACAAATTAATAAAATTAATTAATATTATGATTCATAGAAAGATAAACATTCTATGAATTTAGGAAATTAAATGGGTGGGAGAGAAGGCTAAGGAGATTGATAGTTTAATGTTTAAACTTTAGTATTCTGGTAGGAGTCGTACAAAATGATGTAGGTGTGATTATAAATAAGAATTTGAAATATAATGTTGTAAAAATTGATAGAATTAGAGATAGAATTATAGCTTTGAAGATTATTGTTGATAATAAGATTATTAATATTATAAGTGCTTATGCTCCTCAAGTAAGTTTGGATATATACTCAAAATTAAAATTTTGAAATGACTTAGAAGGATTAATACAAAAGATACCTCTTGAAGAAAGTTTTTATTTGGGAAGATTTAAATGGACATGTTAGAAGAGAGGTGGAGAATTTTAAAAGCATTCATGGTGGTTATGGATTTGGGGCGACTAATGAAGATGGTAAGACTATATTAGATTTTGCTCAAGCTTATGATTTTGTTATTGTTAATACCTTATTTAAGAGAAGAGATAAACATCTCATCACTTATAAGAATGGATATAGTAAAACTCAGATTGATTATTTTCTTGTAAATAAAATAGATCATTTAGATTGCATAGATTATAAAGTTATTCCAAGTGAAAGTCTATGTACTCACACCGCTTATTAGTTTTGGATTTTAAGATGAAGGAATAGAGTATGAAAAATGTAGTATATCATTGTTCCAATATTAGATGGTGACATTTAAAGAACTATAACAAAAATATCTTTGAGAACAAAATTCACAATCTTAAGATTTTGTCAATGCATGAGGAAGCTAATGTTATGCGGGAAATAGTAGCTTGTAATATCAAGAATGTTGCAAAAGATGTGTTTAGAGTATCAAAAGGAAAAACTTCTAATAGTAAAAATAGTTTGTGATGAAATCAAAATATGCAAGGATAGATAAAAAATAAGAAGCTCTGTTATAAAAATTAGTTTAAATGTAAAAATTATAAAAATTGAGAAATATATAAAGCTGCCCATTATGAGTCTAAAAAAGCATTCTACGATGCAAAGACTTTCGCTTTTAATTATTTATATAATAGATTTGATACTAAAGATGACGAAATATATATATAAGCTAGCCAAACAAAGAGATAGGAGTAGTAAGTATTTAGTTCAAGCGAAGTGCATTCAGGATGAAGATCAAAAAGTACTTTTTTAGAAGATGATATTCAACAACGATGGATGAGATATTTTGCTAAACTTTTCAATAAAAATTGTGAAAATAAGATTAACTTTAGTGACCTAAACACTCTAAATGAAAATAGAGATTTTTGTTTTTATCGGTGTATTACTAATACTAAAGTTAGATAGGCTTTAAAGAAAATAAAGTATGAAAAAACTGTTGGACCTAATGATATTCCAATAGATGTGTGTTAATTTCTATCTTTAAGAATAAAGGTGATACACAAGATTGTGCAAATTATAGAGGAATTAAGTTGATGTGTCATACTTTAAAACTATGGGAGAGAGTTATAGAGTATAGGTTACAACGTAATACTAATGTTTCTCAAAATCAATTTGGATTCATGCCGGGTAGGTCTACTATGGAAGCCAAACATTTATTGAGAGGTTTGATGGAGAAGTATAGATAGAAAAAAGGAAGATCTCCATATGATATTTATTGATCTAGAGAGAGCTTATGATAAAGTTCCAAGAGAGTGTTATGGAGAGTTCTAAAAAAATGATTAATAATGCTTATATTCAAGTCATTAGAGATATGTATGCTGGAGTTGTTATTTGTGTTCAAACACAAAGTGGTTTGACCAAGTATTTTCCAATTTCAGTTGATTACATCAAGGATCGGCCTAAGCTCGTATCTTTTTACTTTAGTCATGGATGTTCTTACTAGAGATTTGCAATAGGATGTTCCCTGATGTATGTTTTTTGCTGACAACATTCTTCTTATTGATAAGACTAAAGAGTGAGTTGAAGGTACACTTGAATTATGGAGGTCAACCTTAGAGTCTAAAAGTTTTCGTTTGAGTAGATCTAAAACCGAATACATGGAATATAATTTTAGTAGTAATAGTTCTAGTGGGGGGTTTGTGACTTTAAGCGATCAAGTCATTAATAAGAGTACATGTTTTAGATATATTGGGTCTATTGTTCAGAGTGATGGTGAAATAGATGGGGATATTATTAGTAGAATTCAAGTTGGATGGATGAAGTGGAGGAATGCATCGTGCTTATTGTGTGACAGAAAAGTACCACTCAAATTTAATGAAAAATTCTATAAGATGGTGGTTAGACCTGCAATGCTTTATGGCGCATAATGTTGGCCATTAAAAGAGAATCATAATATTAAGTTAAGTGTTACAGAGATGAGGATGCTCAGGTGGATGAGTGGCTTTACTCTTAAAGACAGAATGTGAAATAAGCATATATGTGAAAAGGTTTGAGTAGCTCCAGTGACAGATAGATTAGAGAGAGTCGCCTTAGATGGTTTGGTCACATAAAACGGCGGCCTTCTGATAACCCGGTTAGGAGAGTAGATGTATTAGATTAGGCTTATGTTAAAAAATGTAGAAGTATACCTAAAAAGTCTTGGTTAGAAATTATTAGAAATGACCTTTCTTTATTGGATCTAAATGAGAATTTGACTCTTGATCGGACACAATGGAAAAAAAAAAGATTCATGTAGCCGACCTCACGTAGTGGGAAAAAAGGTTTGATGTTGTTGTTGTAGTTTTTCTTCATCTAAGCGCATAAAATGATACAACTAGGATTTTGCAAAGTATGAACCTCAGAAGAATTTTTTATCAGAAGTTACAAATATAATTTTAAATATAATTTGGCTTGGTGAAGTGCATGATGTGCAAATCAACAGCCAGCAATCAGGTGTTGTGGCATCAGCATAACTGCTTATATTAGAAGTAAAGAATTTTCTTGGAAATGACCAAATAGGAGAACAAAGGATGGAAAAGTTCAATAAATCCTACACACGAAAAAGAAATGTATTGAAAATTCTACTGAGAAATGATGTTTCTTTAAAGCAGCCAGACCCTATCTACCTGGCAAAACAACTGCTATCTCATTTGATTTGCATTCTGTAACGTCTAAGATTGGCATTGCTGGTAGTATAGGAGATAATGGGTGATAAATATAGACAACTAAAATGAACTAGATGAATGAATCTTTCAAATAACACTGCGGATGCCATAAAACTACAATCTACATCCACTGGTTTAGAATAACTCAATTCTGAATTCTATGAAGTTGTCTTCTGGTACTTCTTTAATCTAAAAAAGGAAATAGAGAATATGTATTACCGGAACTAGATAAAAAATATACAGCGTGACTGGAGCCACCATAGCATGCATCAGCATCTAGAATTCCAGCCAACTTTTATTAAAAATTTCATTGGATGAAAGACAATCAAATTTAAATAAGTACCAAATGAAATCTAGTTAAGTACCATAAAAGAATGACAAGAATCCAATCTTTTGTGCGAAACGAAGTGGACTCCAGTCTAGTAGAACAATCACAAATGAAAAAAAAAAAAAAATCCTCACCTTTCCACCATGACTCCAGGTTTTAAGACGCGCGGTGAAGGTTCCGGCGGGCGAGTAGGCCGAATCCCCGAAGGCGTGCTCGAGCGTAAACTGCACCGACTTGGAATCTGAAGAAGAATCCAGATCCACGCGCCGGCGACTCGCAGGGGTTGAAGTAGGTATTGCGTGCACAGGATCAGTGGCGCGTCCGCCCTCGATGCCGAACTCTTCATCGTCTATGACTAGTTCATCGGATTGGAAGCCGAGGGACGAGCAGGAGAAGATAAGTGCAACGAATAGGAAAGAGAAGACTGGCTTAGTGTGCTTCATCGCGATGATCGGGAGCCACGGGCGATGGCAAGGGAGAACTGGAAGGAAAAGAGGCAGCGACCACGAAAGGCAATACTTCGGTTTTTTTTTTTTTTTTTTTTTTTTTTTTTTTTTTTTTTTTTTTTTTTTCTTCTTCTTCTTTTTCTTTACAAATAGGGGCAATCATGCCCAATTTTATTCCAAAAAAATAAAAATTACAAAAGATTACAAATCATATGTAAAACAAAAAAAAAACTTACAACTCCAAACTAGAACCTAGATAAAGAAATAAAAAGCTCCTAAAAAAGAGAAAAAATGCAGTCAAACATCCCCACATAATAGGAATCCTCAGCAGAAAAAATCACCCAAGCAGAAATAATCAAAACTGACCAGCATAGTAAAAAATAAAAAAGGGAATCGACAATCCTCAAAACCAAGCCGCTAGCTAAGAGCAGACACCACCAAAACGCCCTTAAATATCCAATACTCGGTCCAGGACATTTATCCGGAAAGCAAAGCACAACCAGCAGCAAAAACATAGAGCCAGCAATAATTAAGTCACAGATCAAAACATTCTCCAAAAGAGAAGAGAACCTCCGGGTGCAAAAACCAAACTCCTCTGAAGCATGAAGAAAGGAAAAGAATCCCTTCTAGCCCAAAAACTTGCAAAAACACCTAAGGTCAGCAACAAAAATCCCAAAAATCCTTTAGAATATCCCAGCAGCAGGATCCAAACTCCCCTAAAGCATGAAGAAAGGCAAATTATCCAGTCCAAATCATAAATAAGAAAACCTGCCAATGTACAGCAACAAAAACTGAAGAATATCTCCAGAAACTTATCAACCAACAAGAAACAAGTGAGTTTAGTAGAAAAAACTCCAACTTCCATGGAGAAGGACAAACCTCTAGTAGCAAAAACTGACCATCCAAAGTTTAAAAAAAAACTGGTTGTGAGCTCTACCCAAATAAAAATTTCATAATATAATGAAAAGATTTCCAATGAGAAATCTTAGCAATAATATTAGAATATATAAGTCTATTCAAAGATTCAGTGTTAGAAAATTTATTCTCAAACCTCATGGAATTTCTTTCTTTTCAAATAAAGTAAATAGAACAACTAACAGATAATAAAAAAAAAATTCTTAACCTGAGAATCAAAATTAAGGGAATAAATAAAGTCTAGTAATTGCACTAAATTTGGCCTGAACAGAAAAAATTTAATATGAGGCAAAAAGTTAGAAATAAAACTAAAAGAATAATCACATTTTAAAAAAAAAAGATGATTGTGACTTTCATTAGCTTTCAATTCAAACAAAGGACACAAGAAGTAGAGACATTAATATTCCTCTAAACCAGGAAATCATAAGTTTTAAGCCCCTTTAATAATGCCATCCAAGCATATCTCTTATGCCAAATCAACTTATACCCATCCACTTTATTAAAAGAATCATAGTAAGCTCTATAAAACATTTTAAAAGAAGTAAAACTCCATTCTATGAAATGTGTAAAGCTTATGGATCCGTAATAGCAACTTGAGATATAATATAACTAATAGTCAAGCACAAAGCCAAATTCGAGCATTTATTAGAAATCCAGTCCCCTAATTTCAAAATAAGAGAATCTAAACCCAAAACAACACTATTTGAAAAAACAATATCATGAACAGACCTCCCCAAACGCCAAGGATCCCAATATAAAGAGAGGGAGATGTTAGAAAAATATTAAATTGAATCTTGCCTTTAATATCTCTAGCAACCGAAGAGATATTCATCCAAAACATAGAAACTGATTGTTGTTTAGACTTCTAAAAGAGAGAAATACTTATATTTTACCCAAATATCCAAAGTACCAATGTCATTAATGATTCTCCAAATAAGATAATAGTTATGAGTAAAATTGAGAGTTTCAGGTTCCAGCCCCCCAACATCTCTATGCTTGCAAACCTTATTTCAAGAAATGATATGGATCTTCCTACTGTCAGGATCATCATGAAAAAGGAAATTAGAGCACATTTTTCTAATAAATTTAAAATAATATTTAGGCAAAGTAATGCCCTTAATCTAATAAGAAATAACATTGGATATAGTAATTTTCAAAAAGTATACTCTCCCAATAAAAGAAAGTAATTTAGCTTTCTAACCAGCCAACAAAATAATAATCCTACTAAATAAATGTTGAAAATCAGCAACTTTCAGCTTCTTACGAAAAAGGGATAATGTAACTAATAGTAGAAAAAGCCTTTAGATATAATAGATTCTGATGCCAATAATGTAACTAATAGTAGCTTCTAAATGAAAATCTTTAGATATAATAAGAGAGCTTTACTAGTGTTAACAAATAAATCAATGGCATCCAAAAAATAAGCCAAGATATCATTAAGCTTTCTAGCATTCTCCAAAGAAGCTGTCCCAAAAATAAGAACATCAACCGCATAAAGAAGATGAGAAATATGATTATCACCAACTTTAATCCCCTCAAAGCCATTATTTTGAGAACAATCATCCAAAATATTAGAAAAAGCATCCATAACAATACAGAAAAGATAAAAAGAAAGCATGCAACCTTGCCAAATACCCAAAGAAGAATTAAAAAACTCAAGCATATAACCATTAAGAATAACAGAAAAATAAACATCTTATATGCAACCTTTAATCCAAGAGATGAAAATTTGAGGGAACCCTTTTTGAATCATCCTAGAGACTAAAAAATATCTAGAGACCATATCAAAAGCCTTATAAATATCAATTTTAGCACAAAAAAAAATTATCCCTAGGAGAGTAATTAAAATCTCTAAGAAGTTCAACAACAAGAATTATATTATTTGTAGAGATCATTTTCTTAATAAAACCATATTAGTTTTTATGAATAATAAAAGGCATCACACACTATAACCTGTTAGCCAGAATTTTAGCCATAATTTTATAAAAAAAAAGTTGAATAAAGAGATGGGCATAAAATCATAAACATTAGAAGCATTATTCTTTTTGGGAATAAGAGAAATGGTAGAAGCTTTAGCAGCTCTCGGCAGAAAATCAAAATTGAAATAATAAAGAACAGCATTGCACAAAGTAGGACCAATATAGCTAATTTCTGGGAGTTGCTTATTGAGATTTTTTTTTTATAACATATGTTGGTAATCCTATCAATAACATTTATGGTAAGCTTCAGTTACTTAAAGCTTTAATTAAGAAGCAAGAGTGCGCTTCCTCTAAGCATCTTTTCTCCTCTATTGAGAATCTTAAGAAGCAACAAAGTGATTTATGTAGTCATATTCAGAAGAACCCGCTTAATAATAATCTTAATTTAGGTCTTATTAATGTGAATTCTCTTTTTAATGATAATCTTTTTCTTTGATCTTCTTGGGTATCTCAGCGGGCTAAACAAAAATGCAAGGTTCTGAAAACTGGACCGGACAACGAACCGAAAGAAGGAGAGGTTCACAGTTCGACCAGTTCAACCAGTCGAACCGGATGATGTAATAAATAATAATATTATTATAAAAAATTAATAAAATTAATAAAAATAAAGATAGATAATAACCTAAAATTTAATATAAATTATTGCTAATTTAACATTACATATTTAATTTATAAATATGATATATATTTTAAACGAGTATAAATATAAAAATGGATAATTAACATAACTAAATATATTTAATATAAAAGTATTTCATTTAGTTAAACATAATAAAATTTTAGAGGTGAAAAACTAAAACTTTGCAAATTTTTACTAAGAGTGTTCTCATTTGGTAGAAAATTTAAAATGTATTAATAAATAAAATAAAATTAAAACACTAAAAAAGACTGGAGGATTGCATATACACCAAGAGAGAACAGATAACAAACGCTCACATAAATATCTATTGGTATTCAAATCTCCTATAAATTCTATTATATTGATTTATCATCTATGATTTTTACATTGAAAGATTATTACTGAGAATCCGCATCAAAATAAATGATAAAAAAATAAAATAGAATAAAAAATATTATCAACTTAAAAAATAAATATTATCAACTAAAAAAAAAATATTATTCATATTACAAAAATAATTTCAAAATCAATAATAAAAAAAATAATTTGTATATTGTGAATATGAAACTAGAGATGGCTCTTTCCTTTGTATGTTTAGTCTCACATCCCTTAGAAGTCTTGTTTTATATAGTGTATATACCTTCTTGCTTTCTCTCATGACAAGAGCTCTTAAGAAGACATGAGACTGATGAAATTATAATATATAATATTATTATCTTTCATTTAATTTAAGAGTTTTATAAAAATGTTTATATTAATTATGATTAAGTTTAATATTTATTTAATATTAAATAATTTATTTAAAAATATTATTCTAAAAACTTGAACTGGCTGGTTTAAAAAATCGGGACCGGTTTACTGGTTGAACTGACGGTTCATCCCAAAATCGTCCAGTTAAAGCAAGGTCGGTTTTTAGACTGGACCAAACCGTCCCTCAAACTGGTTCACAGTTGAACCGGTCAGACCGGCCGGTCCTATTTTTAAAGCACTACAAAAATGAATGACCTATGAAGAAGATGATTTAGGGTTTCTTTATTCCAAAATCAGATGCATTCAGAATTACAATAACATTCATGATATTTATTCTTTTCAAGGGATTGTTACGGACCCTATTAATATTGCTAATACTTTTGTGAATCATTTTAAAATTATTTTTAATTCTCGTATTCCAGTTAATTCTACTTCTTTTAATATTATTGCTTGTAACCTTATTCCAGACTATTTAAAATCTGCTTTGATTCTCCCGATATCAATAGAATAAATTAAAAATATTGTTTTTAACAGCCCAAAAACCTCTGCCCCGGGTCCTAACGATTATAATTTTGAATTTTTCAAGACTGTTTGGGAGATCAATTATTTTTCAACAAAAATTTATAATTAATAAAAGAACAATTATTGCTACAAATAATAAGAGGAGAGTGATCCGAGCGAAGAGGGTTATCAACAACATAATAAGAAGAAGGATAAGCATTCAACCAAGAATTGCTAACAAAAATCATATCTAATTTAGTATGAATCATGTTATTAGTTTGTTGATTGAAACAAGAATAAAAATTACCAATAGACGAAAAATCTAAAAGCTCGGAATTA